AGCACATGATCGACAGAAAAGCTATGCGGATACAAGGAGGAAGGATTTAGAATTCAAAGTTGGAGAAAAAGTGTTTTTGAAAGTGGCACCGATGAAAGGTATACTTAGGTTTGACAAGAAAGGAAAGCTACGACCCCGCTATATCGGACCATTCGAGATACTTGATAGGGTCGGAAATGTAGCCTATCGGTTAGCTCTCCTACCTAGGTTATCTGCAGTGCACAACGTATTCCATTTACGACATAGAAAACATTCGATTTGGAAAATGATATCTAAAGAAAAGTTGTAGCTCTTTGAGTTAACTTTTCAACGCACTTTGAATTACCTCAATCGGATATCGGGATAAAAAGTTATGATAGAAATACTAAAAGCTGTACAGTATCAACCGAAGTACGCAGAATATGAAAAGTCAAATTCCTACACGATTTTCTAGCACCTTCTTAAACATATAACTCCCACATAAATGACACCCGTATTAATGAGTATTAGGCCCTTCACTTGCCCTTAAGTTGTGAGATTTTCACCTATAAATAGGCTCCAATGTATACACATTTTTCACACCAAGGCAAAAACTTCTAAGCATAAAAGAGAGAGTTTTCAAGTCTAGAAAAAAGAGAAAGGAGAGGGAGGAAAATTAGTTTTTCTTAAAAGTTTTGGTGCTATCAAGAAGTGTTTTCCAAGCATCAATTCTCAACGGAGTGTTTTTTTGAAATATCAAAGGAGTGCATTTTTCAACAAAGTTCAAAGCATCAATCAAGGTAGGTAGAAGTGCAAAGTGTTAATTCGTGTTAAGTTATAAGTTTCTAGCAAATGAAGATTTATGTTAATGCTTGTATGTCTAATAGTACCTCCGGTACGGCATACATCTCCATGTCTAATAGTACCTCTGGGTACGGCATATACTTCCGGTCGCGGCATCGTGTTAAGTCATGAGTCTACGTGTTTGAAATTCTACCGAAAATCCTACTATGAAAAGGTTTCTAAAGTTACAGCTTTGAAATGTATAACTTGATCACGAATGCACAAATGATATATATTGAGTTTTTTTAACTCACGAGTTTAACCCCTTCCCTACAGATTGATATGATTCTACCTTGTGCCTAGATGGTGGAAAAGATGGAGAGTGGTGCAACGAGCCCATGGAAAACCCGGTGAACAAATGATTTAGATTTATTTTTGTGAACGTTTTCAATGTTATTTTTTTAAAGTATTTGAATAACGCTGAACGTGAGAACAAGTTGTGTTTTCTTCAAATAAATTACGTTCCGTTTATTTTTTATTCAGTATTTAATTTAAAGTATTCGAAAAATTGTTGTTAAAATTCTCATTGTAAAAATTAAGCTTCCGCTAAAACATATTTTCCTATGACTAAACCACCGGTAAGTTAAGTAAAGTAAGTAGCGTTCCGGTCCACAAGGGATCGGGACATTATAATTTTTTACTCGTAAACATCTGTATCAAACAAGTTTTAAATCTCACCTTGACTCTTACTCCTTTAGGATTGAGTAGAGATAGTAGAAATAGAAATTTCGAATTAATTGGTTCGAATATAATTTACTCGAAACGTCAAATCGAATAAAAAATAATCATATCTTAATATAGTACAGCGGGCCAAACACTTACCAAATATCCATGGAGAGAAAAGCTCAACCTCATAATAATAAGGTTTTTCTTCCTTGAATAGTTAATGCGCATATTCGACAAAATATAAACTAATATTTATGTCTTAACATGATTTTTTTTTTTAAACAAGAATCCCTTTTTTTTTTCTTTAGAAACATTTAATACGTGGATAAAAATATGACAATTTAATGAATTTATCAATTGATTTACCCTATTGGATAATGAAAGAAAATTAAATGCAATTGATAATAAAAACTCCATCCAGGCACAATTCAAATATTCAATCCAAAAGGCTTGTCCAGCTTCTGAGATCACTCAATAAATCATACATACGTCAGTATTTTTAAAGATAAAAAATTAATTAAAAATGAAAATAAAGAAATTAATTGTGTTGACAGTGTAAAAAAAAAAGTCATTGAAACATGTTTAAAAATAAAAGAAATTACTTAAAATAACCTTATTTATTTAGCTCATTTTCGTCTAGCATTAAAACAGAACTTTTCTTATTAAATTAATTTATAACCACAGATTTATACAATAAAATATATTATAATAAATTAAAATTTTTTCGTACTTTTTAATTATATAATATTTAAAAAACACTATTCTAAAACTCATTTTCCCAAAAAAAAAAAAAAAATTAAAATAGTTGTCACACGGGCTTAAGCTTGGCCACATCTTCATCACAAATAAAGCTCAAATTGATCAAAATCTGCACCAAAGCCACGAAATGAGAAAGGCCCAGAAACAGACATGCTTCACGTTTTTCACGCCGACCTTCACGACAATAACGACGGGACCGATATAAATAGTCTCAATAATAATCAAAGTTTGATGAAACGTGGCATTCATGCGAATATCATAGGCACAATTTAAGAAAGAATAATGCTATTTGTAGTCGCTCACTGCGACAGTCGTCCTACGTGACATACAGGTGGTTATTTGATGCATTAATGAATAAAAAAAAACTACCACATTAATGCATCAAATAATCACCTGCCATGTGTATGTCACGTAGGGCGATTGTCGCAGTGAGCGACTGCAAATAGCGTTACTTTTTAAGAAAGGCCCATATATTGACGACCTAATTAAGACACTTAATCCCCGAAAATTAACATTTAAATTTTAATCTAAATTAATTAATTTTAATTACATGTTTATGAGATACACAAATTTTAAACAATATATTTATTCAACTTCCATCGAACTCTATTAAAAATCTGATTTTAATACGCATCATATAAAAATTTTAGCTTCCGTTTGGTAACAATTTTTCACCTCAAGAAATCAATTTTTGGATCATTATTTTACTATTTTAGCCGTCATTTTTAACTTTTTTCACTCATAGGTAGGATCTATTTTTCCGACCAAAAAATCAATTCTCATAATCACTGTTAAATAAGCCCTTAATCTTGTTCGAACATCGTTGAGGCTCAATTTGATCGAACGAAATAATAACCGTTCGTTCCAAACACAAAAGAACAAAATCTCTCAAAGAAGTGATAAGACCGACGAGGTGATACTTTCAATATGCCCTAGAGGAATTTTCATACTTGGTCCTCAATATATATTTTCTTAATTACAAGATCGATCCTTCACTTTTAAAAAGGAGAAAGTTGATTCTCAAAATTTCAAACATTGAATTTGTGGGTCTTATATGTTTAAGCCTCTATTTGTCTTCCTTTATAAAGAGTTTTCGAAAGACAGAATGTGATTAAAAAGTTGGAAAAATGTTTTAAATTTGAGTGCAAAATATTTTATTATAATTTGTATGAATGTATAATTGAAAATGAGTTTTGAAAAAGAAAGACAAATAGGAATAACTTTAAAAAATTAAGCCCCCGTTTGAACCCTATTTTTTGGGATAATGTATTTTAAAATAGTGATTTTTTGAAAAATATATAATTAGAAAATAAGAAAAAGTTTTGAGTATACGTGTAAAATTATTTTATAAAAGAGTGTGTGTTTGGAAATGAATTTTGAAAATAATGAAGCTGAAACAAGAGCTAAATATAATTTTCAACTTGTACTGATTCTAAAATGAAGCATGCTTGCTTGAATGTTAATCAAATTGTGCACTATATATAATGAGATATTGGGACCAACTTTCTCTTTCTGAAAATTGACAAGCAATTTGATAATAGATCCAAAGTTTGGGCATATAGTGAAATTATACTTTTCTTGTTTTGTTTTTCGTAAACAAGGAAAATTCCTCGGTTTATTTGTTTGGATTTTTGTTGGTTAAGACTTGATCTTACGGCGGTTTAGATAAATCTTTAATTAACTAATTACTAATAATTAATATCAATATATACTTTATTCACAATTTATGTAGAAAAGTTGAGTCATCGAGGTTGAACGTAGTTGCCACGTCTTCATATTTTTCAATTCAACGTTTCTACTGTCCTTTTGTTTATCAAAATCCTCGTCTTTTTTTTACCTCATCAACCCTATAAAGAATTCTGCTCAATTATTAGAGAATTTCCGATAAAAATTGATCATAATTTTTGTTATCTGGGTTCTGGGAGATTCGACGAGGTGATACTTTCAATATGCCCTAGAGGAATTTTCATACTTGGTCCTCAATATATATTTTCTTAATTACAAGATCGATCCTTCACTTTTAAAAAGGAGAAAGTTGATTCTCAAAATTTCAAACATTGAATTTGTGGGTCTTATATGTTTAAGCCTCTATTTGTCTTCCTTTATAAAGAGTTTTCGAAAGACAGAATGTGATTAAAAAGTTGGAAAAATGTTTTAAATTTGAGTGCAAAATATTTTATTATAATTTGTATGAATGTATAATTGAAAATGAGTTTTGAAAAAGAAAGACAAATAGGAATAACTTTAAAAAATTAAGCCCCCGTTTGAACCCTATTTTTTGGGATAATGTATTTTAAAATAGTGATTTTTTGAAAAATATATAATTAGAAAATAAGAAAAAGTTTTGAGTATACGTGTAAAATTATTTTATAAAAGAGTGTGTGATTGAAAATGAATTTTGAAAATAATGAAGCTGAAACAAGAGCTAAATATAATTTTCAACTTGTACTGATTCTAAAATGAAGCATGCTTGCTTGAATGTTAATCAAATTGTGCACTATATATAATGAGATATTGGGACCAACTTTCTCTTTCTGAAAATTGACAAGCAATTTGATAATAGATCCAAAGTTTAGGCATACAGTGAAATTATACTTTTCTTGTTTTGTTTTGTTTTTCTTAAACAAGGAAAATTCCTCGGTTTATTTGTTTGGATTTTTGTTGGTTAAGACTTGATCTTACGGCGGTTTAGATAAATCTTTAATTAACTAATTACTAATAATTAATATCAATATATACTTTATTCACAATTTATGTAGAAAAGTTGAGTCATCGAGGTTGAACGTAGTTGCCACGTCTTCATATTTTTCAATTCAACGTTTCTACTGTCCTTTTGTTTATCAAAATCCTCGTCTTTTTTTTACCTCATCAACTCTATAAAGAATTCTGCTCAATTATTAGAGAATTTCCGATAAAAATTGATCATAATTTTTGTTATCTGGGTTCTGGGAGATTTTCGACCTGGATATTGTATTTCGGTGAGATTTGTGTTGTATTGATGTAAAATTAGAGTTTGGCAAGTTCTTGTGAAAGAAGGGATTTGTATTTTGAATTCTGACCTGACTCGGGTGATTTTCTTTAGATCTCTATTGATTGAAGGAAAGTGAGAGAGTGAAGCAAGATGAGGGAAAAGCTTGGATTATCGGTGTGCTTATGGTTTCTTCTATATGGATCTTGTTTCGGAAGATTCGTTGTTGAGAAGAACAGCTTGAAGGTGACGTCACCTGGCTCACTGAAAAATGTGTATGAATGTGCAATTGGGAATTTTGGGGTTCCACAGTATGGAGGGACCTTGGTTGGTACAGTTCTCTACCCAAAAGCCAATCAGAAGGCGTGCAAGAGTTTCGAAGATGTGGATATTTCCTTCAAGACTAAGCCTGGAGGCATGCCCATATTTGTTCTTGCTGATCGAGGGGGTAAAGTTTTTCGATTTCATGCCCTTCAATTGGAAATATTCATTTTAATTTTCATGTTTGTAGAATAGGAAATTGATAGTGCCTATTTGGCAGTATGATTCCAAGTTAACTTGATTGTTGATTGCATATTCACGTGTTTTAACTTCGTTGGGAAGACAAGAAAAAAATGTTCTTGTACTTGTCTAATTATTTGAGTTTTTGCTGTTTTTATGTATCTTCACCAATTATCATCACTTTGATCATATTTGAACATGAAGACAGTAATTTGGATTTGATATAGCTATTAAACTTGTCTACCTGTTTGGGCTCCATTTTAATGTGATTTTGGGAGAAAATGTATTTTGAAATAGTGATTTTTTTTTGGAGAATGCATGGTTAAAAGATAATGAAAGTTTTAGGTTTAGACGTAATATTATTTCATGAAAGAATGTGTGGTTGAAAATGGGTTTTGGAAAAATGTATTTTGGAAAAAATAGAGCCCAAACTGGGGCATCTTGAAGAGGAAACACCAATTTTGGTTTATTACGGAATTGTCAAAGGGTAAAACCACAGCTTAATTGTTGACCCTTTTATCTGGTACTCGAAAGACTAGAAAGAAAAATTTGAAGTTGATTGTCCTTTATTTTTCTATAGCTTAATCTTGTTAATTACTTCAGATAAATCAATTTTATTCTTCTCTTGTATCGCTTGATGTCTTGATCAATATTGTTATTGACATTACCAAAATGTGCGCCTTTCATTCGGTATCATCCGAATCACACACATTAATACATGTACAACTGTAAACAATCTCTTCATATGTGGTTCTTTGCTTAGGTGTGAATTTTATAGCTGCTGAAGCAAATTACTATTTTCCTCTACAAGTTGAACAGTGTCAACTTAACTTGCTGATTTGGCAGATTGCTACTTCACTTTGAAGGCATGGAATGCTCAGAAAGCTGGAGCAGCAGCTATTCTTGTTACTGATGACAGGGTTGAGCCTCTTATTACCATGGATAACCCTGAGGAAGAGAATGCACGAGCAGAGTATCTGCAAAACATAAATATCCCATCAGCACTTATTAGCAAGGCTCTTGGGGATGACATCAAGAAAGAGTTGTCTAAAGGAGAAATGGTCAATATAAATCTTGACTGGAGAGAGGCTCTTCCACATCCGGATGAGCGGGTCGAGTACGAGTTCTGGACAAATAGTAATGACGAGTGTGGTCCCAAGTGCAAAAGCCAGATAGATTTCGTCAAAAATTTCAAAGGAGCTGCCCAGATACTTGAGAAGAAAGGGTATACCCAGTTCACTCCGCATTATATTACTTGGTATTGTCCTGATGCTTTTATTTTGAGCAAACAGTGCAAGTCACAGTGTATAAACCATGGGAGATATTGTGCGCCGGATCCTGAGCAGGATTTCAGCAAGGGATATGATGGGAAGGATGTTGTTGTTCAAAATCTACGCCAAGCTTGCTTTTTTAAGATAGCCAATGAAAGTGGAAAACCATGGCTTTGGTGGGATTATGTGACAGATTTTGCAATACGCTGTCCAATGAAAGAGAAGAAGTACAGTAAAGATTGTGCAGATCAAGTAATTAGTTCACTTGGTATGTTACAGTTCCATTTTATCAATGTTTTAATCAACAAAAAAAATTAAAGCATGCAATATAATGTGTGCTTGCACGAATATTCATTTTGATTTTGTAGATGATGTTGATGTGACCAAAATCCTGCACACTATAAGGGATACCAACATTAATTGTGCTGCTTCGTTTTATTATCACGGAGTGTTTGTCATTTGTCATAGTTTCAATTTAATTAATTTAACATTTTTTTTTAAGAATGACGAATCACACCTGTTTTTCTTATATTGTTAGTTAACATTAGGCTTAGGGATTTAACAATTATTGATGCTTAGAGTAAGCTAGCTGGTTGTTTACTGTTGCAGTGAGTCTTTTCCTATTCTTTTTGCTTGTAGTTCTTGAAATTATGTTGATTGATGTGTATTTATCACCCTCAAATTTTAATTTGATCCAAATGCCTGCTGTATCTCATAATGAGTTGCATCAATATGAAACTGATGACGTTGTTTATCCTTGGATTTTGATGGTATTTCATATGTTATTACTGCATTTTAATTTTAATTTTGTCCAAATTTTAGTTATGTAACCGATCAATGATCTAAATCTTTATGTTACCGAAGGCTCTCTATAGATGGAACCAAGAAATAGTGCTCCTATATGTCCATGCATCCTTTGACTCTTGGACTAGGATTTTCTACTCTCTAAGAGTTACTTTTTCACCGTCTTGACTAATCAACATCTAGGGCTGCTTGCTCATGAACTAATTGGTGTTCATCGAAATGTTTCTTATGCAGGAGTTGATGTTAACAAGATAGACAAATGCATAGGAGACACTGAGGCAGATACTGACAACCCTATTCTAAAAGCTGAACAGGAATCACAGGTTTTATCTTATATGACCCGTTTATAGTTAACAGTGGCTGTGAAAGTTGTTAACTGACAATGCAATTTATTTTCAGATAGGGAAGGGTTCTCGTGGAGATGTGACTATCTTGCCCACCCTTGTTATAAACAACAGGCAGTACAGAGGTAGAAAACTTGTAGAACCTTAACAGCAGTTGGAATTTAATTATCACAATTTATAGGGAAAAAAATGTTCCATAAAATTAATCCTACTGCTCAGGTAAGCTGGACAAAGGAGCAGTTCTCAAGGCCATATGTTCAGGTTTTGAAGAGACAACAGAGCCATCCATTTGTTTGACTGAAGGTCATTGGTTCTACTATTCATCTCTAATTTATACTTCTTTATTCTTATAAAGTTGTAAACAAAGATATAAACCATTGAGCTATTCTACCCAATGTGGTATTGTGAGACTCAATCCATGCAGCTTTGGAAATAACTACCTTTACATACCTCTGCGTGGTTGATACAACCTCTGCACTCAAGTGGCTGTTGACGATCTTTTTGCAGATATTGAAACCAATGAGTGTAAGGAAAATAATGGGGGATGCTGGAAGGATAAGGCTTCTAACATTTCAGCGTGCAGGGTACTCTCCGCTTCTAATTGTTATTTTCGCATTTTAGCTGCTAGTTCGTTTCTGATGTGCTTCAAAGTTCATTACAGGATACCTTCCGTGGGAGAGTGTGTGAATGCCCAATTGTGCAGGGGGTGAAATTTGTCGGTGATGGTTATACTCATTGTGAAGGTGAACGTCGCTTCAGCACTTCTCGAAAATAGTTTTCCTATTTTCCCCCTTAATTTGGGAGGGTAGGGGTAGTCCCATACCCTACCATTCCAGTGTAGCAACTCTTTTCCCTTATTCATTCGGTTATGACGGCGCAATGAATTCCTGGAAATGGTTTTCTTCTTTTATCTGGTTATGCTTCTACAGTTGTTACCAGAAGTCAATATATCAGGATTAAGTGTTAACATAGGCTCTGAGGAGATTTTTCTTTCCTTTGATTAATAGACATATCAGACTTTCTATAGGCTGTTTCCACTAATGTGATTAGTAATTTCTTAGACACAGAACATTTAACACACACCTGGTCATCGACTTTCTGTCCCACATGGTCTGTCTCTTATATCATAGTTTCTTTTTTTTTTTCCTGTCTGTGACAGCGTCTGGAGTATTAAGATGTGAAATCAATAACGGAGGCTGTTGGAAAGGAATACAGGATGGAAGGACATATTCTGCCTGCATTGTGAGTTGGATGCTCCTTTTTGTACAATTGTTTCCATCTCTCACATTTTACTAATCGTCAAAGTTTCTTTTTCCATTGTTTTTCCTAGATTGTCATACTTATTTTCTCTCTTTTTGGTCCTTGTTTGACCGCATGCGAATTTCTGATGTCTTCTATGCTGAAAATCGGTTCAATCTTTATTTTTCAGGATGACCACACTAAAGGTTGCAAGTGCCCTCCAGGATTCAATGGTGATGGAATCAAAAATTGTGAAGGTACATGTCTTTATTATCTGAAGGTCATATGAACATAATAGATTCGTCTGCTGTTGAATATTTTATGGGTGATTGATGGGCATCTTTTTTAGATATTGATGAGTGCAAGGAAAAACTGGCATGCCAATGTCCAGAGTGCAAATGCAAGAATACCTGGGGCAGTTATGAATGCAGTTGCAGTGGCAACTTATTGTACATGCATGAACATGACACTTGTATAAGTAAGTATGAACATTTTTCCTATTGAATGTGCAGTGAGTACTGTGTGCCTTACCTGGAACACACTGCTCATTGAAGTTGTCTGGTGGAAAGGTAGATTTTATCCAACTTGTCTAGCATCTTGTGCAGTAAAGTATTAATTATTTGTCCAGACACGAGTAGTTGGCTAGCCACTGCATCTATGACTGGAATGAAGTTCATATTGAATCCTAAGATTGCTGATTACTCAGCAAATTTGTAGATAATGTTGTTACGTGCTAAAATAATTTCTACAGTGCTAGATTTATCATCTCCTGATCTCTGCAGGTAAGGATGCTAATACGAAATCCAGTTGGGGCTTTGTTTGGGCAATCATTCTTGGCCTGGCTGTTGTAGGAGTTGCGGGATATGCTATGTACAAGTACAGAATCAGGGTATGTTAATTTATTTTTAATTTAGATTCCTCTTTCGCAACATTCATATTTCAAACAACTTAGGCTGAATTGATAGGCACGTAGAATAAGGATAATTTGGATCGACAGCATAATGAAGAGGGACCTAAATGGTTTGTAAAATTCATCCAATTGAATATGATCATTAATTGTTAGGGTATGGATAAGGACCCTAAGTGAGCTTGTTAGACAATGTGTTGTATATTCAACGAGGTGGTAATGCAAGAAAGTGTTGTGAAAATTTCTAAAAATATTGGCAAGAAGGGCTAAGGGCATATAAAAAATGTTAATATAGTGGCATGTTCAAGTCCATCCATTTGTTATGTTATCCCCCCTTTTCTGGAATTTTCCCATAATAAAGATTCATATGCAGAGATACATGGACTCGGAGATTCGGGCTATCATGGCACAGTATATGCCATTGGATAATCAAGGAGATGTACCTCAACATATTCCTCATGGCAATGTCTGATAATAGGGAATGATAAGTGTGTTTGTTAAGAATGGCATCCGGAGGAAGAAAAGTTATACACACCACGCTGCCAGCATTTATTTGGTTAAGTGGGATGTTTTCTGACCCAATGCATGGTACATTTTCGTATTTAGATTTCGTTCACATGGTAATCTAGGTTATAATCTATGTATATGTAAACTGTGACAGATATTTATAGACTCCTTGTGTTTTGGGAAATTTTCCATGGATGTGATATGCATTATGATCTATTAAATCGTCTATATTTTTTCCCCTTAGATTTTTGTTGGGAAGTGTAGTTTTTTGTCATTGATCAAGCATTTGACATGCCATAAGGTTCACGTGACCCATATTTGGCTAATATCGTTAATAGTATTGGTCCCCTTGGTTTTGTATGTAGGTTACTATGCTGCCTTTTAGATACAGTAACTTGAAATATTCGGTTACTATGTCAGTTTCCTTGAGATAATATTTTTGTTTTTCACCAAATATGCACAAGCGATTCCAAATATACTTCTAAGTACTTTAATAAACTTATGCAAGATTCTTCTATTTGTGCAGTATGACATAATACAGACTTTGAATTTGAGATACAAAAATGGAAGTGGGAAACTAGCACGAGTGATCTGGCTTAGTTTAACCCGTCATTTAGGCATTTAGCCTTATTCCCTTGGCTCAATGGCGATAACAAACAGGACGACTTAGATTTACTCTCTCCTGAGATTCTATGCATTTATTTGTATCTTCCAGATGATGAATTGAGAGGAAAAATAGAGTGAGACGAAGATGCTACAGCATGTACCGACTCTGCCTCTTTTAGTTCAAAATTTGTAGTCAATCTTTAGACCTTGTTTTCAACGATGGCATGTTGGGTTTGATTGTCTTCAGAGATGGGCTAAAAGACCCACAATCAAGGCTTAGATAGATCTTGGAAGGAGATGATCAAACTCCCTGCAATTGGGTTGTAGTAAAATGTGATCCTAACAAGTCTAGTCAAGCATCCGAGCTAGTTGTAACTTGTGATTGACTTTTCTTTGTTTGACACCTCGGACGAAGCCTAATAAGATTACAGTTCCTCAGAGTGCCATCACCATCGAAGAGCAACTTCACAGGGGCTCTAAATCCATTTCTTGATGAAATTGAGAGCTTGAAAAATATTTGACTTCGAGTGAAAATAATCTATCTGGGACCATGCACGATGAATTTTTCTTACAATGTAGGTCTTTAAGGTCGATTTCGCTTGACAAGAACAAGCTCACTGGCTCACCTCTTGGTGTTAGCTGAGCTGCTGCTCATCATTGAAAAGAATTAACATGTCATCCAATCGGCTTTTAGGTCAGTTACCCTCTGGATTATGGTCATTGAGTTTACTTTGATTACTTGATTTATTGGATAACTCATCCGAGGGTGAAATTCCAAAAAGGATTGAGAGTGCGTATAATTTTGAAGCAATTAGTTTGCAAAAGAACAAGTTTATAGGCTGGCTGCCTGAATATATTGGAAATTGTTTGCTGTTGAAGGCTATTGATTTGGCGATAATTATTTCAATGGGGGCCTTCCTATATCAATGTGAAAACTTGGATTGTGCTGATATCTTGATGTCAGTGGCAATTCATTGATGGGGGAATTTCCAGTCTGGATTGGAGATACAACAAGCCTGGAGTTCTTGGATCTTTCTGACGGTAACTTGGCGAGATACAAAACTCCATAGGAAATCTTCAACGTAAACTTGTCAAGAAATCAGTTTGTAGAAAGCTTACTAGAGTCTCTTATAAATTGCGTAAACCTTAAGGTCCTTGATCTTGGCCAAAATTTGTTCACTGGTTCAGTCACCGTGGCAATTGCAAACCTATCCAACCTTGATGTAATCGATTTGTTCTTCAGTCACTTCACCGAAAGTTTACTGAAAGAACTTATAGATCTTTCCGCCCTTGTCACCTTCAATGTTTCCTACAATCGAACATCTCCCAGTTGAACTTCCAGGCTATGGCTTCTTCGACTACATCGCCTTCCTCGTCCGTCATTGGTTATCCGCTCCTATGTGGCTCTGTTGTCAAGCAATCATGCCCTTCAGAATGTTGTCAAGCAATCCGCTCCAGGGTAACTTCCGTTCACTAGGCAATTCCAACAGTAAAGCTTGGTTTGATTTGTGCGTCTCATCAAACCATCCAAACATGGATGGGGTGATCAGAATGTTAGAACTAATCCAATGTACTTCAGAAAGCCAAGACGAACTCGAATGATCTTACATCAAAAAGATCGATATAAGCAATAAAAGATGGGCAAATAGGAATACAGTTTGTTGGTTAGATATGCGAAGAAAAACATCAGTCAAGGATTTTCTTCAACCTTGTGTTATTTTACTTAGTCTCTTCTATAAAACTTTTGGTTCTTTTTGGTGTCGAAGTATATCTTTTAATGCATTTATGGTACAGGAACATTCCTCTACTAATATGTTTTATTGAGATCACGTTATCTTATGATCGAGTCTCCATAGACAACTTACATATAATATACTCATTTCCATCTGTTTTTGCACATTCTTTCTTTTTATGTTTGTTAATGTTCGTTCTGAGCCAAAGTGATTGGAAAGAGAACATAAAGAGGCCATCTTTATAGCACATGATCCTAAAAATATTCATTTCACTCTTCCAACAATGTTCCGTCTCTTCTTTCGTAACATTAAAATATCAGCAACATGTGCTGTGAAAAGTAAAGGAACTACGTACATATTGAGGTTTTTATCATGTGCATTGATAAGAGAAATCATTGTCAAATGTAGCGTTGAAATGCTTCCAAAGCAAGCATGAAATAAAAGCTAATGAATTCAAAGAGAAAGAGCCTTTGTGGGTTCTGTGCAAGTTTTGAAATTGTTGGGATCAAGAATATTATCTTCATCCCTTTCTGGTCTATTTCGTAGAGACAGAATGATATAAAGCAACAACTTTGATCTAAGCAGCTAGTGGGATGGACCATATTCCACCAAAAACTTTCATTTTTGGGGCAAATCATTTTACAGATTGAAGTGAAATGCTCATTGCCTACTCCATTCCCATAGGAGAGGGGAATAAAGGGGTTGGTGGTGGGCATCAACCATCAGTTGGACAAGGATGTAAACTCAGGAACGGCCTTTTCTCAAATTTCAGCCTTGTCGACCGATGGGAAAACACTCAATAGTATGTTTAGTAAACTGAACTGAATAGAACTGGAACATAATTAAGAAAGAAAAAGAATCTATACAAGCATTAGAAGCAAAAGGCTCGTTTGCCACACGAGAATTACACTTACAAATGAAGTGTTGGATATATCAGTCTCTGGTATGTGGCTAATGCCACCATATCCAGAAAGCTTGGCACTAAAATCCTTATCGATCTGTATATTGGCAGTTGAAAATTCATGGAACATTGCCTGTCAAGCATCAAAAGAACTCAGTTATAAGACAAACTAAATCCAAAATTTGGTGGTTGCAGCAAGAAAACAAGTAATTTTCTCGTGCAGAAGGCACAAACTCAATCATTTTTCTTTTAATGATTAAGAGGAGTTTTTAAGTACTTGGAAAGGTCCTTCTTCATGCAGGAATGTAAGACCTTGAGCAGCACATAAAGCAACTTTCATTCTGCCATTCCAGTCAATAGGTGGCCCATTTGATCTTCCATACAAAAGCCTGTCTAAACTTCCATGATATAGCCTCTCATACACCAACATTCTGCGGTCTGATCCCTCACGTGCATGAAAGCCTATTAATTTACAGAGGGAGGGATGTTGCAAGGATGCTAGAGTATTCACCTCGTTGACAAATTCCTTTAGACCCTGCAAAGGAAAAATAGATTGAGAAAATAGTCGTAAAAAATATATGAGATTTCAAGAATCTGATAAAGAGAAGGTAGAACTATATATTAATAAATGAAAAACTAATTAAACGGGATCTATATTGGATTTCAATAAGATCTCTACTATTAGTTCTGCAGCAAACTTTCTAACCATGTTTGCTTTGGCTTCAACACTTCGAAGCATTTGTGGACGGTAGATGGATATGAAACTTAAAACAGACTCAAAACTTATCAACTTCACTACAGCAAGGACGCTGCCCATTCAGCACAACAGGATCCAATTTGTAATAATATAACTAAACACAGCACACATCCCTCTTCATCAAAAAGATATCGCGTGAGGAAACCACTAATTACTAGATAAAGAAGAAAAATGACAAAAAATCAAACACCCACAGATAAAAAATTTACCTGAGTGGAAGGGTGAAGGCGGGTAACAGTGGCTTCAAGCTTGTTTGAACCAACAGCATCATCCCCAAATGAAGCTCGATATATCATTGAAGAGATCCCTTCAGAAACACATCGCTCGGAAGAGAAGTTGTGGCAAGCAGATGCAATTTCTTCATACGAAAAATTAAGGACTCCTCTTGTAGGTAACGTCGGAGGCAGAGGAAGTGGTCCAGACGCATTAAGAGGGCCACTAGCGTTCATCATTTTAAAGCTACATGCAGTCTTCAAAGTAGCAGTATTCTGTGGTGATGGAAGAGGAAGAGGTTGAAGGTATGACGAAAAAGAATCACATTCAGTGGACGAGAGTGCATCTTGTTCTGATGGAAGAGGAAGAGGTTGAGGGCGTAACGAAAAAGAATCACATTCAGTGGATGAGAGTGCATCTTGTTCTACAGCATGAAGACTTGATGGGGCAGATAATGCTCGTATCCTACTACTACTTACCCGATTTTTTGAATGAACAGTTTTGACCCTTGTTCTAAAACTTGGGGGTGCAGATTGCAGAGAATGTGTACGGGTTTGAGGTTCAGGCAACATAGTCGGTGAATGTTGCCAAGGGTTATCGTGTCTAATATGCATAAACTCTTCAGATTTCTTCTTCTTACTCTTCAACACCATAAAACATCCCATATTGCCTACAACAGTGTTTAGATTCTAACCAGGTAGAATGATGTCCTGTCAAATAGCTATGCATATGATTACACGAAACAGAAATGAAAAAACGAGCTAAGCTTATTAGTTATTATTAACTTAAACATATCATTTCCAAGCTTGCTCAAGAAATTGAAAAATATATAACTGAAGGTGAGGTGCGTCCCAACATATTATTAGCCATTACACCCCAAATACCACCACTGCAAATTCTAAAATCTACTACCCGATTCAGAAATTCAATTTCTAGATTTAAGTTCAGATTAAATTTTGATCATTAACAATGATATAAGAGTTGATTACACAATCTGAAAAATCTTACGATACTAACCAAATCCAGATCCAATAATATCAAAATGTCCCTTAGAAGATTCATGGTTAATTACCAAATAAATGGACCATTGAAATTGACGGAATTTCCCAGATGGGGGTGCATCTCATTTTCTAATAGAAAATTAAACTACAACGAAACAAAGAAAAGACAAAGACGTATGCACCGTACTTTCCCTAAATTGAATGAATTTTTTCTTTCGTTAAACTGAATTTCCCAAAATTTCATTATTATATCAGAATTCAACTCAACCCACAAAAACGTAAACAAAGAAAATGATACAAAACCAACCTGTGGCAATGATCCCTGCAAAATTGATAATCTTGAACTAACTTGAAATAAAGCTTGGATTTAGACTATTACACATGAACTCAAATGGTGAAAAATCAAATCTTGTGATTGAGGCTTAAATTGGGTGAAACAAGAAAACCCTAAAGAAAGTCAAATTAATACAAAATGAGGAGAGGAAAGGTAAAAGCAGCGTTGGAACATGATTTGAATAGTAGAAGTACTAAAATATGGAGAAAGAAAGAGGATGAGAAGGCCACAGGAGATGAGTAGTAAGTAGTCAAACCCAACAATGCCCTCATTGTAATTCTCCAATTAAAAAACAAATAAATAAATAAATCCTTGTTGTCATCGTCATTCTACACGCCATCAGTTGCCTTTCTCATTGTCTTCTGACATTTTTGACCTTAGATTTTTGCCCATGCAAACAGGTTTCTTCCTCTTTTTCTTGCCTGATGGCCACGGCCCATGACTGATTTACAGCACCCAATGTAGTGATGGATTTTTAACAGAAAAAATTTTCACTCTCACTTTCAAAAATTACATTGAATCGAATGGTTCTATTTATAAAATTTAAGAAAATTAATGGATTGCTCAGATTCTTGAAATATATGGACTGATCTCTACTTATATGAGCTTATTAATTGTTGATAATATTTTACATCATTATATAACACTTGATAAAATTTATATTCAAATTTAACTCTGGAAAGTTGCGTCCTAGTTTTTACTTAGGTCCACATTCATTTGATATTGAAATCTTTCTTTGAAATTTCACTCTTTCTCGTTCCCTCTACCTTTGATTTTGAAAATTTATTTCACTCTAATTTTAAGATAGATGCGTGTGTGTATGTATACACACACAATTTTTGGTCATTCTTTACATTGCATACCAAATATTATCAATGTGCACTGTGCAACCCTGAATGTAAAGCTATCTATGAGTGGGCAATTCAAATAAGGTGAACAAATATAAAAACATATTCATACCATAGTTTTTAATAACTGGAATACTTTTTAAGTGTATAAAAAGGTTATAACTTTTACACATTATCATATTTATGTCTCAAATTTTTTTAATCGTATTCTTCTCGAATTAACATAAAATTGTTCCTGATTATGATTTTTCTTCATTTTTTTATAGTGTAAAAAAAATTCTCATTTATTCATTGTATTTTTAAATATGTAAGATAAATAATAATACAAAAGTATGGTTAAATATATGACCCAATTTTAAAGCATGTTAACAATATTTTTGAACAAAAAACGTGATTAAAGACAAAATTTTATGATCAATGAAATGTTAAAAATAAGAAAGTGATTAAAAAAAGCTAAGAATATAAATATGATAATGAATAAAGATTAATAATCTTTAATGTAATTAAAATGTGATCAATTTATGAAACAAATGTGGTGTGAATATAACCACTCGAAAAAAAAAATAATGTTATCTAACACTACTAGTACTACAACATTAGTTTATGTGGCACTGAGATAGGTTTAATGAAATATAGAATTAAGTGATTCATTTAATTATGAATAATATTATTTAGTATGAGTGATACTGGGCACCAAACTAGGTAATCATACTTGGTATGTTCAATTAAAATTGAATTATGTGACATTTTCATTTAAATAAATTTATCATTTAATGTCTTATAATTGTCATTTAAATTAGTGCTTAATATCAGTGGTATTGAATAGCATCACTCTTTAATTATCTCTCTCATTTAATCCTACATTAAGACTATATAGATTAATATTTTTAACTTCAGTAATACTAAATAATTTTTATTTTGATATATCACATTTTAATTGTAGTTAGGCTCTTCAATCTTTGTTTATTGTAACAATTATTTTCTTAACTTTTTTCATCGAATTATTATTTTCAACATTCCTTTAATTAATATATCTTATCATTGATGATAATTTATACAAAAATATTTTATTTTTATGATTTGAAATGGGGGAAAAATATTTTTTTATTCAACAAATAAAAATTGTGTGGTTAATCGTTCATGGGCATTACAGTCAATTCAAAGGGAAATATACCTCAATATTCAAAGAAAAGGGACGTCGATTGAAGTGACAGATGAGTCAAAGTTTGGAAAAACTATCGTGATTTTTTTTTATGAAAAATACTTGTCAAAGAACCCCATCAACCAAGATCTTTGACTCTCAAGATCTGCCGTTTGATTCTGCTCTCGGAGGAAAGATCCACGGTGCTTGTCTCCAAGATTAAAGAGGCTTTGGGTCCCACTAACCCCAACACTTTTGTCCTTAATTACGCGCTGCCCCCATCATCCGCATGTACAATTCTGTGTACAGGTTCAACTATTTATGAAGGATAAAGATGTTTGTATCGAAGGGGGTGTATCGAATCGTTTACACCCCTCACAAACATGCGGGCATCATGTGTAATTTAATAATTTAAATCGAGGTCTCACTCAAATAATGTGAGTAGTAGATAAACAGTTACGTAAATGATTATGTACGTGTAACACGGTCTATTTATGAAACAAAGGTGCTGCTGTGCCACATCCTCCCTGACCTACTCTCACATTTAGGGTTGGGGGGCACTTTTTTTTGCATTTTAAATTCACCTCGGGTCCATGTGATTCCACAGCCATGTGAGTACTTGTCAAGGAGGTGGACAAAATTTTCCTAACAAAGCATCTTATTTTTTTTTTTTTTGAAATTTCAAATTTGATTACATTACCTGATATTGAGCCTCTATTTGGTTGAGATTTTAATTTGAGTCAAAGTCAAACAGTTAATATTAAAAATATCTTTTCAGGTTCTACAACTTTTCAATCACACATTTCAAAAACTTTTATCAAAATCTACTAAAAATTTAATTTTTAGTCCATACAAAACACCCTCTGATTTACTAGGAAACTTAATAGATGTTTTTCAAATAAGTTCGATCTCTAATGAATTTTATGTTTTAGCTTAGAAAATATTCCCAAACATCATAAGACTAGTAGTACAGCAAAGAATTGGTCAATTAGTCTATTTTTCGCTCATTACTTAAGGTGTTTTTATAAATATTTTGGTCAAAAAATAATTCAAATTAAATCACTTTTTATACACGCATTTTATAGGATCCACAACTATTGCATACTTTTTTACCACTTTTTTAGCCCTATCTATAAACATTTAGCTTCGTTTGGCTCTATTAAATTTATAATTCATTTTTTTCTATCTTCTTATCAATCACAAAATTTTCAATAAAATAATGTTATATGTAATCACAAAACTTCTTTTCTAACCACAAGTTTTTTTAAAAAAATAATAATAAAAAAAACTATTTCAACCATTAACATTTCGAATAATGGAGACCAAAAGGAGGATTATGTTTATCAACAACTAGCTAGACATCTCCTTAATAACCAAGGTAGAAGACTAATTGACCAAGTGTTGAAATGAATTCAGCTTAAAGGTCGGCAATTTTTAATGGAGATCTTGTGATAATAATAAATTTTTAATAATAATTTTTTAAAGAATGTAGGGTTAAAAAATAGATTTTTTTTAAGGAAAAAACACACACACAAAATTGTTTTATAAGGAGAATGTGTGACTGAAAATAAGTTTAAAAAAAAAATGATTGTGCTCAATTATTTCCTTGTTTTCTTGGGCTTAAGTGGGCTGAAAGTTGTTTAGGTGACTAGGCCTTGTCCTCCAAAATGGCCTTTATGGATCTGTAAGGCTAAACTTTCCAACTTAACGTCAAATAAAGCCCAAATAATTATTTTCATGCTTTTATAATCTATAATCTATAATATATTAAAATATCATATTAGGGGAGAATAAATTTTTAGACGATTTTAACTTCCTACAATTCAATTTTTTGGATGATTTTAACCCCCCCCCCTATAATTTATTATTTTAATAATACTTTATTTTTTTTGTATGTAATAAATATTACATAATTATTGTCATTTATGAAATTTGTGTTATTAATTTTCAATTAAATAAAATTCATATTAACTTCAATTTAATGAATTTTCACTTGATAAATCTTGAATTACATGAATCTAGAGTTATTATAGGTGAATTTATTCATATTTATGTATTTAGAAATTTTAATAGATGTTTAAATTTATGTGTTGACAATTAATTTTTATGTATTCTTTAATTCGTCTAAAACTCATCAAATCCTTCAACAAATTGGTACAAAATATTACTTTCACATCACTTATAAAGTATTTTAGAATAACGTGCAATGCACATTCAACTTTAACTAGTAATACTTAAACGAGCTTAGTATTTATTTTTCTCAAAAGTGCATTTTAGTCCCTCAACTTTTGGATAATTGAAATCTTACTCCAAATTCTCAAATATTTAATATTAGGTCCTTTTTCACTATTCTCTTCAGACTAGGATCTATATATAGCTATGAAAATACTAGAGTGTTACACACACTGTGCCCTTGTTTGAGCCCCATTTTGAGGGGAAATTTTTTTGAATTTGCGCGTAATATTATTTTATTAAAAAATGTGTGATTGACATGATATCAAAACACTATTTAAAAATGTATTTTTTTTCCCCACAGAATGAACTCATACAAGGGTAGAACATACGATTCCCCATTCTCACCTATACTTCCTTGTATTTCTCCCAGAGTATAAATTAAATGCTAATTCTCATTATAAGAGCATTTTTAGGAGAGTTTAATTTTAAAGAGCACATTTAGCAATTTAGAGAGCATCTATAAATTTAGCGAGTAAAAGTTTTTAAGTACTCTAAACTTTAATCTGTAACACTTATTTTACTATTTTCAAAAAATATTATTATTTTTAAATCTTTTATCTTCACTAGATTTCTCTAAATTCTTATACCATTTTCCTCCATTAAAAATTGAAACACTTTGAATACATTTGATTACAGAGAGTCGCTTGACTCTCCAAATTATGATAGCCAAACTCACTTTCTATTTTTTAAAATGTAATTTGAAGAGCCCCTTAAATCATAATTTTAAGAGTTGATTTTTTAAAGCAGAGAACATCTTATGTTTAAAAAACTTAACATAAGATTAATTTTGAACCCCAAAAATGTAACATTAAATTTATATGTAAGTCTTGCCTTTTTATTTGTAGTTCTAATTATTTTTAACGAGGTATCTCGGACATTGAGGAACTTGTTTACCCCAAAGATGTTGCAACTGGTCTTTAAATTGTAAATTAACATTTGTTAGTTGTCCAAGATTCAGTAATATTTGATTCATAAGAACCGAAGGATAGCTAGCTTGTAGAACATGTTAGCCTAAACTTATTAATTAGTTAAAAGCACTCGTATTTTAATCAACTTTTAAGTTTGACCAAGCATTGTATTCATTTATCATGCTAATTGAACTTGGTATTATTACCCAACTTTAATGGATGTCTTATTTCATGTCTGCTTTTCGTGAAAAAATATCAATTGAAGTGGAGGGTTTCTTCAAACAACAAGGGGTTTGGTCAACTATTTAATCAAATGATATTGAGCATGTTTCTCATCTCTTCGGCAGTGTGTGGAATGGTTGAGAGCGGACCGTTTTGGATATAGGAAATATAATCCAAGTCGAGAGTAGAGTTACGGGAACAGCCGTCTAATGGAAAACGACTTTCACGTTACTTTTAATTTTAAAATATATGCGGATACATTAAATAAAATAATAATTATTATTATATATATATTTTTTAAATAACTCTCACTTACAATACATAAGAAATTTATTTCTAACTTTCATCAATAAGAAAATTTTATTTTTCTCTTACAAGTAATTTACTTAAAAACGTAAATCTTTTAAGCTTATTCAAACTTGCTCATAATAATGAGTTAATGACGTACAACTACCGAATATGTGGCATACATCCAAATAAAGAGTGAATTACCCAAATGGTCACTGAACTTTGTAAAAGGTTTCCACGGGTAACTGAATTTTAAAAATCATTCAATTCATCATTGAACTGTGCAAAAAATTTCCACGAGGTTACTGAGTTTTAAAAATTACCTAATTCATTACTGAGCTTTGCAAAATGTTTTTCATGGGTCACTAAATTTTTGTTTCGCGTTAGGACTCTATTTAAGGAATTAATTATCAATTTGAGAATTACTAAGTTAAATAGTAGCATCATTCTCAATCTATTAACGTCGTAGTAACTGCAATGGATTATTGAAGAATACTTAACATTAAAAAATCACACAACATAAATCCCCCACTGGATAAAATATACACAACACGACATGTAAAAATTGCATCAAGGTTAAAGAACAGTTATACCCAAGTTTTCCAATAAACTTCTCTTATTAATTGTAGTATAAAATCTCCATTCCATCTTCAGTTTTACTGCACCCTGCAACATAAAAACGCCATTACAAAAATACCGCACTGACACGTAAAAGTAAAAAAATACTATTTCTTGAAAAGTAAAACACAGAATGCAGTAAAAATGTTATATACTTTGAGCAATCCATGGATGGGCTGATCTTGTATGGAATGCGAATGCCACATTTACCCGGAAGGCCAGCCGCGTTTTTAATGCTGGACGCGGAGGCAGACGCCGCCACCGTTTTCAAGCACGTGCAAATAGATTGTCGGTCACTTGTGGTCTCAGCCATGCCGTAAAGTGACTTAATACTGGCGCAGCAGTTAGATGGTACCTGATGGCCGCCGTACATGACATAGTTGAGACATGGAGATAGGGTGGACGCTGCCGTGCTGCACAAGATTTCAGCCTCCGCATGTGGTGCAACGACCACCGCGATTACTGCTACTAAATAAAGTATCTTAATCATTTTAGAGCTCGCAATTTGAATAATATTCAGTAATTTGTCTAAAAAGGTCATCAAGTACGATGTTTATATAGAGGAGTGTCGGAGAATTGGGACATGAATTCATGGGATCGTTGTGGCCTCTGCATGAGGTGCAATTAACACCCTTCCTTGGCACACATATCGCTGTTCCTAAGATATGCTAAAAAACTCTAGTCATATATATGTTTCATAAATGCATGGTTTGAATGTTACTATTGTGATTGGAAGTAAAAAATAAAATAACAGGTGGATTGTGCCCCTCCATTCCGCCGAGGACTTCCGTCGCTATCTATATTGTCTAGAGGCGATGAAAATGAGGTAAAATGATGAATTTGCTTTTAGGAATCATTAAATCCTATAAATGATTGTTTATTTGTTTTGATGTATCATAACAATTTTTTGAAAGACAAAAATCAAATAATTTTCTGTGGTGAAACAAAATATCACTTCCTTTTCTACAACTTACGGATTAATGCCCATAACTGGGAGGCATCACTTGGGCCACGAATCTCCAATTACCCAAACAATCTTACAGATCGATCTGTTTACCAATTGCAGCCCAAATTTTATATGGCCTTAGGCTAGTCCAAACAAATGAATTGTTTGGGGTTCCCCTTTTACTTCCTCTTGCGTCTTCTTAGTGGCAAATCTTTACCCTTTTTGCACTATTCAATTTTGTCATTTTACATCGCCTGGGGAATCCTCAGTTTTCAAAAAATATTTTACAACTGACTAGTGGAATATATGATGAATATAATGGATTCAGTTGATAATATAAAGATGAGAAGAACAAAATATATTTGAAATGGCCGGAGTGGGAATCAACTAATAGGAGATAATGGGCGGAGTCGTGGGGAAAGAGTTTGAGAGAAAACGAGTTTAGATAATAATGAAAGTTAAGATAATGGTAATTTGAATTACGATGATTTAATTATTTACTTAAATAAGCATAACTGTACCACTAATTTCTCTTGCAATGCTCCTGATAAGACTAATCTGCAAGCATCGAATAGATCTTTGGATTCTAGTCCACTCTTCCTAAGTACTTGCTGCCTAACGTTTGCTCGTGGCTATCTTAACCATTGATTCAATTGGACTAAAAACCTACCCAAAACGCCATTCAACCTTCTATTCCTCGTTAGCCAGTTATTTCTCCGAATATGAGATAAAAGTGCTTTTTCTACCTGTGGTGCGCAAATGAAACAATTTCCATTCCTTAACCGCACAGTAGGCAAATGGCAGGAAAAGTGATCTTAGTTGAAGTTAACCATCACTTCGAAATATTCTAGTTTGGGCTAGCCTGAGGCCATATAAAGTTTGGGCTGCAATTGGTAAACAGATTGATTTGCTCCATCGTCTGACTTCATTGCATGGTAAACAAAAACTGAACATTTCAAATAACAGAAATTAGGTTCTTTTCGCACCTATACAGTTTGTTTGTTAATTCATTAACTATTTTTGTTTGACTCCCTTTATAATGTTAATTAAGAAATAATTTTTACTTATCTCTTAGAACTAATTAAATTTGACTTCAAATTTAACACATCATACATTTTTTTGATTATGAGTAATGCTATGTAGCTCGAGTGGGGTTGCAATCCCAGTCCAGATAGCACTAGATGATAGGTTAAATAAAAGATGAAGTTAAATGAGTTATTTAATTTCACCTATCAATTAATGTCATATCAACGCTGTTTAGACTGTGGTTGCAATTTCAGTGATACTAAATAACATTACTCTTTGATTATATATGGCAGGCTAATGGTCCGGCCCAAAATATGTTATCTTAAACACGTGACCAATTGACCGCCCTAGAAATAGCCGACTCCTATGTTGGGCTCTCAGTTGGATCTTCCATCGTCTGATTCTTTTTAACACCCTTTCGTATTCTTTTTAACCCAAAGTATTGCTTAATAATTTAATACACGAGAAGGAAGATCCATCTAAATCAACAGGCGAGTATCTTGTAATACTTACAAAAATGAAAGACTCACTTGCATGTTTTTAAAATTTTCATCGGTGGGAAACAAGTTAAAGTCATATGATCTTATTTTTTAACAAGATAATAAAATCTTCAGTGTACAGTTGTTTGTCATTAGTAAAATTCAACCGACTCATTTAAATTTTTAAATACAAGAATTATGTTTGTTATCTTGTGATTAAATTAAAAATTGACTTCAAGATGTTATATAATAAAAAGAAGTCTTGTGCATTATATATGATTATCAATTCGCCAATACTAAAATAATCCAAGTCAAAATTAAGTGAAAATACAAAATTATATCATGCGCGTGCACCAGTTAAGTAATCAATTAAAGTTGAAAACCATTAATTTGCCGAAGAAAGGCTTAGTAATCATATAGAAATTTAGCCAAAGTCAAACATTTATTTCAACAATAAATTCATAACTACTATTCATTATTATCCATACATTTCGTGAGATTCACTCCTATTCATCTCTATAAATTAATTTTACGAAATTTTCCACAGAAAGACTTAATAATTTACAGAGCGGTGGTCCATATTAATTTAAAGGAAAAGGAGTTTCATAAGATTAAATTCTATCTGCCTTCTTTTTTCTTTTTGGGGTTTTGGCCGGTTCAACCGTGAGAACCACTCATTGTGGTATTTTATTCTTGAATAAAAGCGTCTTTCCATATATATGTAATGTCATATGGCTGCTCCCGCAAAAAAAATAAAAATAAAAAATCAAATAAAGTTCAGTTTCTCTCACACAACACACATACAAACACGTCGAAGGGTGTGTACATATAAAGATGGCCACCTTAACGCGATATGCCCTACATCTCTTTGTTTTCATTTTATGTTTTCGTAACTCTCAGGAAGCTATGATAATTGGAAAAGCGCGTATGCAACATTTTACGGTGGGAGTGATGCGTCTGGCCCAATGGGTGAGTATGTATAACACCTAGACACCATTACTAGTGAACCCTTTGACAGTCGATCCTTGATTTTTTCCGGTCCAAGTTTTAAAGCATTGCGCTTCAGTTAGCTACACTTTGCAAATGAGTTAATGCTTGTAAACTTGACACTGTTAATTGCTTGTGCAAGAAGAGCATGTGGATATGGAAATTTGTACAGCAAGGGCTATGGACTAGCACTACTGCTCTAAGCACTCTCATCTTTAACAACAGCATAAGCTGCGGGGAGTGCTGTGAAATTAGATGCAATAGCGATGCTAAATGGTGTCTTTTGGGAACCATAACTGCCACTGCCACCAACTTCTGCCCACCAAATAATGCATTAGCCAATGAAAATGGTGGATGGTGTAATCCTCCGCTCCAACACTTTGATTTAGCGCCGCCCGCCTTTTCTCAAAATTGCTCAGTATTGTGTTAGGATAGTTCCTGTGGTCTAAAGAAGGTAGACATTGCAAGTAAATTTAAGGGAAAAATTCATAACTCAGGTGTATTGTTTACATCAATTCAATTTTCAAGTCCTAAGTTTAAAAGTGCAAAAATCAGGTATTTATTTGTTAATTAAAAATATTTTATTAATTAAATGTAATAAAGTCACAATTATAGAACTAATAGTCACAAATACAAAATTTTAGGTCACAATTTATTTATTAGTCACATATCATTAAATTAATTAGTCACAAATTATTTCAATGGTCACAGATTTAAAAATTTATGTCACAATTTATTTCGGTGGTCATAGATCTTAAAATTTATAGGTCACACATTTTTAAATTTGTTGATGACAGTTAAATATTTGATCACAAATGGTCACATAAGTCAAATAGTGGTCACAGACCACCGCCACTAATACTATCGCATCGTCACTGCCATCACGGCCAATTGTGACCACTCTCACCTCGTTATCGTTGCCAAGGTCACATGGTCATAAATAACTAAATAGTTGGTCACACTCGTCAAATAGTGGTCATGGACTACCACCACCACCACTATCGCACCGTCATTGACGTCACGGACACTTGCAACCACCCTCAACCCATTATTGATGCCAACACCAACACCAAAAATCAAGGCAACCACAACCAGCAACCACCACATCCGTCACCAAGAACCACCACACACACTAACAAATACCCAGTTTGATGGAAAATCACCATCACCACCACCACGAAAAACACCAAACAGCAAAACGACCACCAAAACACAACGATCGACTGCACCACACCACACTACATCCATAGCGTACCACCACCATTATCGCCACAACCACCACTTCCGCTTGCCCCACCATAACCCCAATCCATTACAACCACCACCGCTGTCGCCAGTATACCATACCTCAAATCACCGCCATACCATCACCCCCTGCACCACACCACCGCCTGTAAATCACCACCTTACCGTCACATCAGCAGCGTCCCGCGACAGCCACAGACCGATCTGAAAATGTCGCCACCATCACCACGCAACCCCACTGTCATTCACCATTAACCACGCACTATCATGAATAAACACAAATCTCATAGCTACCTCCACGCGACACCACTACCATCAACACCAACGCGGTGCCTCCACCACTACCACGTCACACCTCTCTATACACATAGATCTGGATCTGACCTACAGATTGACGTTGTGCGATGTGTACAGATTCAAGCAACTCCATCTCGCCGCAACTCCATTTGACCGCTCTGATGCCAAGCCTCAACGTTGGAGGTGTCATAGCTGACCAACCCTAAACGAGCAGCGAAACCACAAATCCACAATTTACCACACCGCCGCATCAGGTCCTCATAGTTGCACTGTCGGGTCTATCCACCAAAGAGAGAGAGAGAGAGAGAGAGGGGGTGAATTGAAATGGTTAGGGTTGGAATTGGAATTGGGGGAGATATTTAATTATCATATTCATCCCGGATTTGTGAATAACAAAACTTCATCCCAGATTTTTGCACTGTAAAGTTAAAACACCGGGAACAGTGTAATTTCCTCTAAATTTAAATAATACCGATACTATTTCTTTAAACGTGCATATATTATTCAAAGATGAATTCAAACATGATATCTCAACCAGTAAAAATACTGCATTTAAGTACTCCGCCAGCCACTTATGGAAATTCTGCCTCGATGAAAAAAAAAGAATTCTACTTATATGCATATGTGTAATGTATTAAAAAAAAAGTCAAGTCAAAGATGCCAAGCTTAAAAAATAATAATAATAAATTCCAAAACGGTGAGGCGGTGAATTGGATTATATATCAATCCAATTCACATTTAAACAAATCAAAACCCATTTCAAATTTAGAGAAATAAGAACAGTGAGAAAGAAAGAGAAAAAGAGAAAGATAAAAGATAAAAGAGAAAGGAAAAAAAAAAGGAAGAAGAAGAAAAAAAAAATAGAAATTTTTTGCCAACGTGTTAGGAATTAAGTGGTCTACATTATTCGGCTTGAATTCCTCAATTTTGAAAGGTAAGTAAAAAGTTTCTTATTGTTGTTAGATTGTTAGATTAAATTCAATTTTATTGAAGGGGTTAAGTATAATAAACTATGAAATTGAGTAAGATTAAAGAAAAACTAGTTTTACTGATTAAAGAGATTTTAGAAATCGCCTAAATGTGAAATGATTAAGTTTGTGTATCGCCTATTTAATTATTGAAGTGACTTAAATTAGTTAATTGTTGATTTAAAAAATTATATCATATTTCAGGCGACGATATGGATATCGAGACAGTTTATCAATCGAGTTGATTTTACAAACATATTGCTGTGAGTGGAAAAATATAAATATTTTTAAAATATTTATAAATTAAGTTTATTGTTAAAGTATGTGCAATTATATGTAATTATGTGTTCGAATTACATGATTATTATGAAAATATCTTTTATTATGATACATATGAGATTTCAAAGATTATATACAGTACATTGTGAATTGGAATATGAGATGTGATTTTGAGATTGACCAGAAAAGTATCCGTGATTATATATTTTTTCTAGTTCACGGAGGGGTCTTGGATCTAGGATGAAGGGGTCTCGACAGTGTACATATAGTTCACTAAGGGGCCTTGGTCATATTCTAAAATTGATTATGAGAGGTCTTTGAGACCGACTTTCGTTCACGGAGGGGTCAAAGGCCCGTGGCGAAAGTTCTTAGCCCGAGGGACGGATTATATATTTCAGTCAGATGGTACATTTTTTATGAATTTTTTAGTACATTTGATGTGACGAAATTATAGCATGATTACCAGTTAATATTTATATCATGACTTGAGATAATATTTTACCACGTTATGTGAATGTCTCACATTTTGGCTATAATTATATGATGTTATCTTGCGAGTTATCAATGATATGAACTCGATTTTCGATAAAAATGTAAAGATGAAAAAGTATAATTATTTTCGAACTTCTCCACTCACTAAGCTATCAACTCATATATTTTTCTACGATTTTCCTTACAGGTGGAAATTGATCATTTTTAGCAGGAAGAGCCTAATGATTTCGGAATAAGAGTCACACGACATGTTGAGTGTTATAATTCATATTGATGAAGCACGAAGAAAATAATTTGGGCCAACGTATTATATTTTACATAGCATTTGATTTTGCTGCATTTTTGAAATAACTCATAGTCAGCTTTGGTGATAGATTTGATATCTAGTCAGCATCTATCATCGGAGCACGTCACGTTTCGAGTTCACTGGGGTGATTCGGGATGGGTCGTGTCGATATGAAGCGACGTGTTGAAGACTAAAATCAAATGAATGAATTTGTCTCCCTTTATAATTGCTTAGAAAATGTGGTTCAAAACTGCTTACTTTTTGGATTTTTCCTGTTGGTTTGGACAGAGTTCCGTGCATCAAGAAAGGAGGAATAATGTTACAATTAACGATCATTCGTACTTCAATTTGGTGTTGATAGCAAATGTTGGTGGAGCGGGAGATGTAAATGCAGTAAGCAGTATGGATAAAGGGAAAGACAGGATGGCAACAACTGAGGAGAAATTGGGGCCAAAATTGGGGGAGCAACTCCTACTTTAACGGCCAATTAAAGCCTTTCCTTCCGAGTAACAGCCATTGATGGCGGGACAATCGCCACCTATGACGTGTTGCCAGTTGGTTGGCAATTCGGACAAACTTTTAAAGGTTCCCAATTCTAAGTCCTAAGAAAACAAGAACTCTGTAGATAGAGGAGAAATAGGCAATTTATACTGCAATATACAGCAACATAAGGCTCTTCAATATGAAGTTTCTACTGCATAAATATGTGTAAGAAGATCTCACTTCTATATACTATGTTTATGTAAATGGAGTTGTTGCAATTACGATCCCTTTCCCCTCGTCCCTCTTCTTAAAGTGACGGTTAATGCAGAAATTGTGGGACCTTGAACCTATTTTGACAAAATGAAATCAGCATCTATGCTCAAGTTGGGAGTCTCAAACTTGTTCTGTGGCCCTACCCAGAGAGTTTAGGTCCAATGATGTGCTATAACCTAAATAATATTTGGTAATCTTTACTTAAATCTCGACTTCAAATTTAAAATGTTGTTCAATACCAGCAAGCAGTGAGTTGCATGCTGTTTGCCGACAAACAGTTAGCTATCCTCTTTTCCTCATTACCCACCTGGTTTGATGCAATGGTAGCCTGAGTCGTGAAGAGATTCTATAAAGGCTACTGCCCTTGCACTGCTCATATGAACCCGCTTTTACCCTTCATGTACGCAACTCACCATGGAATATTTGTTCGACTTACAAAATATTAAGTTCAAAAACAACAATCATCAAAAGAAAACGATTACAATTATTGTGAAATGTGTTTCCATTTATTTAAATTATTTGGATGCTTAAATAAGTCTATTTCGACCTGCTACTAAAATTCACCCTTAGCAAGGGTCTATAAGTTGTCGAAATCTTAAGGCTTACTCATTCTAGAAATCACAACTCACTGTGAGCTTCTGGCATTCTTTGCAGCAAAAAGTCGGGGAAGGAAAGCAAATTTCCCTCCTGCTGTAGCAGAAAATTTAGTAATAGTACTGGTGTTTGTCGCTGGTGCCTCAGAGGAGATAGGTTCCGGCAAGGATGGAGCTGGTGGTGGTGAAAGAATGGCGTTGAGCATCTGAATAATCAGGCTGAAGCTGGGTCGCATATCAGGATCATCAACCCAACATGACTGTATAATGAACACAAGATCTGGTGAAATGTCATCTGGAAGACTTGGCCTTTTTTGCTGCATTACATGAATCTTATTGTTAGAAATTAACTTACACTCCCAAATGTTAACATAAATTGCTTGTTTCTTACGCTATTAGACAACAAAACTGACAAGATTTTAGTTAATCATGCCATATTTTCACCCACTTGATATACACCCTCGCACACCCCACAAGATCCAACATCAGATGATAAATGTTAAAGCATCGTTGAATAGGAAGGAGATCTTTGGCAACAGGGTAAAATGACTGAACCTCAGAACCACAAGGACACGGCTATTAATATATTGTATTGTTAATATAATATAAATGGCAGAAAGACAAAATATCAGAGCTACTCACCTCTGGTTGATTTGGAAAATCGAAACCCTAATGACTTATTTGGTAAGGAATATTGTATAGTATGGACTGTATTAAAGAGTAAAACAAGCTAAAATATCGTTCAACGTACTTTATATTCATGTTTATTACTGTGTACCTAACATGACATTGATGCTTAAATGCTTAGCTTTCTAAGTAAACAACAATAAATGAAGGACAGTGAAGCGTAATAGGAGTAGTTTCCTGTCATGACCTTTAATTGCCACAATTGAGAGCGATAGATGAATCTTGTTCCTAATTAATTAATCAGTAAATGCCTTAGGATTCAAGAAAAATGCAGGGTCATGGATAAAACCTGGTCACGACAACATAGCATCTGAGCATACATAAGGATATGGGCATTTGTCACGGCAAGGATAAATGATCAAGTTTGAAAATTTGGTCATCAGCTTGCAATTTACAAGTCGAACTTGTCATAACATCCATGCAGAAAACAAGAATCCAATTCTTCAAAATAAAAATATTTACCAACATGAAAAAAAGAAAAGGATGGGTAACCAATGTTTTCTATACCTTGACAACAACAGCATAAGCAGCTTGCAAATTTGACATTCCCTCGAATGGCATGCGATTAGTCAGCAATGCCCATAAGACCATACCAAAGCTGTAAATGTCAACTTTGTTATTATAATACTTCTTCTCTCCTTGACGAAGCGCAACAGTATTGTACAACTACAAAGTTCAATTCCAATTGTTGGTTAAACCACATAACAATCCTACAAAAATATAAATAAACTACTGGCGAAACTTGATTATAAGAATAACAATGTTAGTTTTCGGTACATGGGAAGATACAAGAGAGTACCATCTTTCTGCTCTACAAATAGCTTAAATTTCAATGACACTAAGATGCATATGAACATACCATAAAAATTATAAGTATATCTGAAAGAACTCAAAAGTTCGGCAAAGAAAGGAAAATCAACAAGTTATTAATTTCATGGAATCCTTGGCGAAAGATAGAAGTGTGCGACGGAACAAAAAATAGAAACTATGAGACCTCTGGAGCCATCCAACGGTATGTCCCAGTTTCTACGGTCTTCAAATCAATGAAAGATTCTTCTCTTACTCGACCAAAATCTGCAAGCTTTACAGACTTCTCATCGGCTGTCAGCAACAAATTGTCTGTACCATAATTTTTTTTTCATCCAATATTTAGTTAAAAGAGAAAATCAAGCATGGTAAGATGCATAGAAATCTCAATAAATATTGTCATAAGACAAAAACACTTCCTTACAAAACTCAGCGTGCCATACAATACCTGGTTTTAAATCTGCATGTATAATCCCATTCGCGTGCAGACAGTCCATGGCACGAGCAATGTCAAGAGAAAAGCTTAATGCAATGTGCAGGTCTAACTTTTCAGGACGCTTGTCGATTAAATACTTCCAAAGTGTCATTCTTGGTATAAACTCTGTGACTATCACCATTAGAGGATCCTTACAAGCTCCAATAAACTGCAACCAAAATGTTTACTTTATGATTAGTGAAATAAGATACAGGCACACAAAAAATTAACAAAAATAAAAAAGCAGTCTTAGAGGCACACAAAATTTATTCTACTATTGATTGTAAAGAAGTTATCAGCATGAAGATCAAATACTCATTTGCACAAGATAAATGAAATCATGATATCTCTGACCTCGAGTACATTCTCATGCTTTACTTTAGACATCATTGTCACTTCCCTGACAAAATGGCTTTCAAGCAATGCTTTCTCTTCTAACTCCTCGCCAAAATTGTAAACTTTGATGGCAACAATTTGAACACCAAACCTACAAAAAGATTTGGTCAATATCTAAATAAATAGAACAGAGATTTCCTTATCAAACAACATGAAAGAGCTAAAGACACAGGGAAGAAGACATGCACTGGGATAATTTGATAGGCAATTGAATTATATCATCTTAAAATTGCAGTGAAATAAAATGATTTTTTTGTCCTTTTTTCGGAGAACAATAACAAAAAGCCATTCACCTTCAATCAAACTAAAAAAAACTTCTTCTATGTTTACTAGTGATTTATAACATCAGTCTAGTAACAGAACTAATAACATTATCCTATTTTAGTATTTTATTTTATAACACTAAAATATCAGCGCAAAATTTATTAACTTTACACGACTTACCACACAGTTGTTAACATTAAATGCGGCATCAACAAACTACAACCTCATCATTTTTTGGTTATGTGACATGTTTTATTTATAATGCAAATAAAACAAAGTACAAATTTAGGAAGGGGCTCAACCTCATCTCCAATAAAAGGGAACCATGCTTGGCGCACAAGGTTTTCTTGCCAGAATCTACAGCCGGGATGTGCTGCCTTGACATTGCGCAATGTCAAAAAAAAAAAAAAAAAAAAAGGAAAAAAAATCTACAACACAGGTGTTGCCAATACAACGTCTGTAAAGAATCTAGCAAGAAAACCCGTGTACACAAGATTTTTCCCAGCCAAAGGTGCAGAAAATTAATAATAAATTAAAATTTTTCCCATCCGAAGATAGGGAGAACATTGTAAGGGTTAAAGACAAGTACAACTACACTTTAGCTTCCGTAATCATACCCCTCGTCATCATACGCAAGTATAGAATAACAACAACCTTATCATATTTAATGCAAAGTTCTAGAATTTAACTACTATACCTCGTCATTTTAAACGCAGAATTCAAGATTTTCATTATTACGCTATTTAATAAACTCTAAGTTAAGAAACTTGATCACAAGATTGTGCGTAAAGAAGATAGATTACACACACCTCCCTTTATAAACTGTAGCATGGGATCCCTCAGCAATTTCTGACCCAATGAACAACAATTTCGGGTCAACAAGCACATTCTCATCAGTGGATAAATTTGGGAAGGCCATGATCAATCCATTCTGTGATGATTCCCCTTCGACTGAGGCTATGATGAATCCGTCCTCTTCAACTGATATCGGGATAGAATTAACTGTGAGCTTCTCGCATTTCTTTTCCCTGCCTATGTTCTCAGCAGTGCAACTCATGTTTGCAAATACTTGTAGAATTAATTTATATCCTCGAAACTGCAAAGCCATCAATCAGTTAATTCTTGTAACAAATATAATAACGTTCAATTTTATAAAATACATTCAAAATCCATACAAATGTAGTTACTTCTTTAAAAACAAATATTACTCAAAGATCTCTACAAAAACTCAAAACAATCTCTACTCTTTTTCCCTCCCAAAAATCACACGATTAAAAGAATAAAAGCTAGTCCAAAAATCAAAAAAGAGCAAAATGCTTTTGTTTTCACCTACTGATCACTTTGATAAATATAAAGAGGCGGTAAAGCTTCTTCTTTATTATGCCCTAGCCAGAAGATAGATGTACACTGAAGAGCCTTGAGGAAAACATAACAAAGATGAAAAAGGAAATATACAAGGAAAATATTCTACCGATACTCAGCTGATATCACGCCTTAATCACTCCCAATTTGTGATTTTATCCCAATATACTTATCCTTAAAAATGGCTTTTAATTTCGGAAAATAACTTACCGTTACAGAAGCTGTTCAAAAAGAAATATATTCACACACACGTGCATGCATGCACTAATTCAACGAAAGCTAAATTCCAAAGCCAGACATCGCTGTATCTCTTATGAAAAGAAACTGAAAGGTATTTATATTCTTTTATCAATGGGATGGAGATTTTCTTCTTACAAGTTGAGAAGGAAAGAGGGTGTAAACTTTGAAGTGTGATGCTCCTATATTAATTGTAATAAGCAACCATTCTCACCATTTAGGTGACAGTGGATCACACTTAAATGAAAACAAATGTGCAAATGAATAAATGCACTGCCTGTTTGGTAGGTTTTTTTAATTACTTTTGGTCAAATTTATCTTTATCCACTTATTTCGTGGAACCCACAAGCGCACTTATCTACAACTCATTTATATTTATTTATGGTTTAAATTGATTATAATTACTTACTAAACATACGTGACAATAACCAATGAAAAGAGGACACATAAAAAGGTATTGTCAATGAGAAGTGGATTGTGGCATCAGTAACTAAGACGCTCTTTTACTTTTGCGATTTAGGACTGGTTCGTCTTTGTTTAGGTTTCTTTTTCATTTTGTTTTATCTTTGCCTAGTCGAGTGGAGATTTGACCTAAAACGAATTCAATTTTGGAATTTGACTAACTTACAACAGCTAAAAGTTGTATCTAATAGAATTATATTTGTTGAAAATTTATCGTTTCACTGTGTATGAAGTTCCGATATGTAACTTCTTCATTGACGAGTTTTCTATAAAAAAGACTGAGTTCTCTCCATGTTAATATTTACAAACTTGTCAGACTATAAATGTTGTTTTGACAATTAAATGTTGTGGAAATATTGATTTTGGAAATCCTTGTGAGAGATGCTAAACATTGACTTTCAATTAATGCTGTTAGAGGAAATATCTACAATATACTTATTAGACAAATATTACATCTTGCACTAGGAAGTCAGTTTAGAGTCCACTTCACTTGGTCAAACCCATCATAAGTTAATCTCTTTCCATTAAATAAAATATCAAGGGAAAATTATATTAATCGTCACAGTAAATGATCACATAATTACGATACATGCACGTTATCACTTAAAAACTAAACTTTGAAAAAGCATTTTGTTGGTCATTTGAACATTGAATACCGTTATGCATCACAACTCTGGTGGATTCCGTTTAGTCCTTCTCATGGCATTGTTCGATAAAATGTGTGATTGAAAAATTGCGAACTTTATAAAATATGTGATTAAAATTAATTATTGACTTTGACTTAATTTTTTTTGGCCTAGTAGTGGTTTGATTTGTGGTAGTTTCAACTTCAACCCCGAACCAAAACCAAATTAGTCGGTTTGGACGAATTTCAAC